TCCAAAGTCTAGAGAGAGTATATTATTTGTTCAAGGTCACCCAGCTAGTGTCAGACCCCATAGTAGCACCTCATTTTCCTAACTCCCAGTTCTCAACATTACACCCAACAAATGCCTGGTTACACAGATGGCCATTAATAAATATTTTATTGAACTGAAATGAATTTAATTGCATCTTCTTTGTTTAACAAAACTACCTGGCCACCCTATAGAATGTGGAAGGAGGAGATGAAAGTGCTGTTCTGAATACTATGGTTTAAAAGGCAATTTGGTATAGACTCTGGGGCAGGCTGCCTGAGTTTTGACTGGGGCTCCACCATGGCCCTTCTGGATGACCTTGGGAAAACCACTTTACATTTCTTAGCCTCAGCTGCCTCATTTGTAAAATGAAGATAATCACAGAAACTACCTCAAAGGGTTGTTTATTCATTCAATAACATTTGTTGAACACCTGCTCTGTGGCAGGTACTGCGTTAGATGCTGGGGATACAACAATGGACAAGAAAAACAAGCTCCTACTCTTAGGAGCTAACACTCTACTAGGATTAAAGGGTATAATCTGGGCCAGCGCCGGTGGCCTAGTGGTTAAGTTGGGCACGCTCTGCTTCGGAGGCCTGGCTTTGGTTCTCGGGCACAAAACCACACCACTCATCTGTCAGTGGCTATGCTGTGGTGGCGGCTCACGTTAAAAAAAAAGAGGAAGATTGGCAACAGTTGTTAGCTCAGGGTGAATCTTCCTCAGCAAAAAAAAAAAAAGGGGGGGTATAATCTACATAAAATGCCTAGTACAGAGCCTGGCATCTAATAAATGTTCAATAAAAGTTACTGTTGTTATTGTTATTAAAAATGTAGTATATATCCACATTTCAAAAGAAAATCAGCAAATAAATCTTACAAAGAGATAGCTCCAAGCAAGATTTTAGGGCATAAAATAGCTCACACAGCAGCATTTCACTAGGACAGATATTATCACCATGGCAACATTTTTCTGAGTTCCTCAAGAGCACTTGCTTGATACTGTGGAGGGTTCAGGCATGGTCTGTGAAAACATCTTGTAAAGAGCATCACGTAGGGGGTGGAGAAAATCCTCTCCAGTTTATGTCCAAAAAAGACAACTTTCTCTACAGAAATCATTTAATAAAACAACGCATAAAATCTTAAATTAAGAAACATAAATTAGGGGCCAGCCTGGTGGCGCAAGTGGTTAGGTGCACGCACTTCGCTGCAGCGGCCCAGGGTTCGCCGGTTCAGATTCTGGGTGCGCACCAATGCGCCACTTGTCAGGCCATGCTGTGGCGGCGTCCCATATAAAGTGGAGGAAGATGGGCATGGATGTTAGCCCAGGGGCAGTCTTCCTCAGCAAAAAGAGGAGGATTGGCAGATGTTAGCTCAGGGCCAATCTTCCTCACAAAAAAAAAAAAAAGAAAGAAACATAAATTAGAGGATAATTACCAGTGGGAGTCATCAAAGATTTCTTTTCAATAGCCAATTTCCCTAGCATATTCAAAATATGATATACTGTTCAAAATTCCACATGATTAACAAGGACATGAAAAGATATTCAACATCCTTAGTCATTAGGGAAATGCAAATCAAAACGACAATGAGCTACCACTTCACACTCACTAGGGTAGCTATAATTTTTTAAATGAAAATAAAAGAGTTTGGTGAGGATGTGGAGAAATTAGAATCCTCATACATTGCTGGTGGGAATGTAAAACAGTTCAGCCTCTGTGGAAAACAATTTGGCAGTTCCTCAAAATATTAAACATAGAATTACTATATGGTGCTGCAATTCCACTCCAAGATATATACCCCAGAGAACTGAAAACAGGTACTTAAACAAGTAGATGTATATGTATGTTCATAGCAACACTATTCACAATAGCCAAAAGGTAGAAACAGCCCAAATGTCCACGAACTGATAAACGGATAAACCAATTGTGGTATATACATACAATGGAATATTATTCAGCCATAAAAAGGAATGGATTACCGATATATGCTACAACATGGACAGATCTCCAAAATATTATGCTAAGTGAAACAAGCCAGATACAAAAGGTCACATATTGTATGCTTACATTTATATGAAATAGACAGAATAGATAAATCCATAGACACAGAATGAAGATTAGTGGTTGCCAGGGGCTATGGGGAGGGAGGAATAGGAAGAAACTGCCTAATAGATGAGGGGTTTTACTTTGGAATGATGGAAATGTTTTGGAACTAGATAGAGGTGTGGTTATACAACACTGTGAATGTACTTTTTTTTGTGTGAGGAGATCAGCCCTGTGCTAACATCTGCCAATCCTCCTCTTTTTTGCTGAGGAAGACTGGCCCTGGGCTAACATCCATGCCCATCTTCCTCTACTTTATATGGGACGCCACCACAGCACGGCTTGCCAAGCAATGCGTCGGTGCGCGCCTGGGATCTGAACCAGCGAACCCCAGGCCACCGCAGTGGAGCACGCACACTTAACTGCTTGCGCCACTGGGCTGGCCCCCTGTGACTGTACTAAATGGCACTGAATTGTACTCTTTAAAATGGTTAGTTTTATAACAAATATTCTTAAAGAAAATGGTTAGTTTTAGGTCACATGAAATTCGTCTCAAGAAGTTATATTTTTTTAAAGATATTACCCATATGGCCTATAAACATATAAAAACGTGAGGAAAAAATATTATAAGTGACTGCTTAGCCATCTCAGAAACTCATGTAAACCGGGCCTATGTCTATTCACAGTGAAAGAAGGAACAGAGAGTTCTTACTAAAATCCTGGTTTTTTCCTGTTAAGGGATAATTTTAAAAGGTAAAATTATGCTTGTCATACAAATATAAAATGAAGATGTCAAAGGTTTTATTTAACTCATTAATTAAAGACAGAACCAGTAAGAGGTTAAAAACTGGTTCAGGGGGCCGGGCCCCTAGCGTAGCGGTTAAGTGCGCGTGCTCTGCTTCAGCGGCCCAGGGTTCACAGGTTCGGATCCCAGGCGCGGACTGACGCACCGCTTGTCAAGCCATGCTGTGGCAGCATCCCATATAAAGTAGAGGAAGATGGGCAGGGATATTAGCCCAGGGCCAATCTTCCTCAGCAAAAAGAGGAGGGTTGGCAACAGATGTTAGCTCAGGGCTCATCTTCCTCATATAAACAAACAAAAAAAAAAAACTGGTTCAAAAGGTAACCAGAAATACTGAAATAAATTTGTTAATAGATGCAAAACTAGCTTTTTGTATTGGTGGGGGGGGGGACGGTTGATCAACTGCCCCTCCACAAGTCAAAATTCATTTGCTTTTCTACAGACAAGAATAATTTGTATTACTCTCAGTTTTCTACAACTTTACAAAGTTTAAAATACTTCAAAGACAATGAAAGGTACAGATCATTAGAGAATCAGATAACTTGGAAGGATGCACGAGTCAGTCAATGCCTAGCGTTCTAAAGGATACCCAGTAATTTTTTTTTTTTTAATCCAAATTGCAGTTTTTCCTGACATTCCTCTGGCATTCAAGGTAATTCACTGCCTTGGTAAATGCCTTCTCTTCTTTCGATTTCAGGTCCTTCTCTGTTTAAAAAAAAATTTTAAGGACAGGTTGGCTTGGATCACCTGAAGCTTGCTTTGATCTTTGACAGCCTGGTAAGAACCAGCTTCCAGGGGTCAGATGCTGAGACACAGATTCCTATAGGTAACAGAGCCCGTTAAGCCATCAGTACTCATGATCACATCACATAAATTACTTCTCTTCTGATGCGACATGCCATCCCTTGATGAAGGAGACCATATTTCTAATGAATCATTCAAGATAATTTGCTTTTTTGTACTATTACTGGAAACAGGGTTATATTGAATTCCCCCAGTTTCTGTCATGACCAACAAGCATCATTTTTAAACAACTGACCAAAACTAGAGAGAGAAGCAGTCTGGAGCTATGAAACAAAACAAAATAAAGTAGTTGGCCTACATGAGATACTCAAAAAATACTGGCTGAGTTGAATGGCTTTTGAAATTTTTATACCACGTGTGTGTGGGGTTGTGATCAATTGTACTTTATTTTACCGTATTGCAGTAATTCTGTATTACTTACTCAGGGATACTTACACAAGAAAACTAAGGATTACTAAGGATTGCACTTAGGATACACTTAGTTTACTACAAATGTAGTATGACATTCCTGTTTCTTCCTTTTGTTAGCACTCTCCAACTGCTCAGTACTGGACCCCAGTAGCTCCTCAATCAAGGCTTGCTGTTTAACCACATAATTTATTACAGAGTGGAAGTCTATACCTGTCACAGAAATTTTCAGCTTATTCCTGATAACAGGAAGTTTTTCTATTTATTGGACCTAAATTATTTTTATTGTATTTTAAGCGTATTGATCATTCCAGCACAATCAAAAGCACATCCACCAACAGTGTGTAAAACAAAAGTCTTAGGCTTCCAAGGAAAAATGTGTTGCTCCACATACCTCTCCATAAAAATCTACAACCCTGCATAGATCCTCCACCAAAGCCAACGCTAAGATTAATATTAGATTTCTGAAATCAGTATAACTGTAATCCTGACCCAAGCAACTGTGAGCTATCTCCTATCTTCTGGATTGAGAGGAAGGGTGGCTTGAATTTCTTGAAATGCCAATACCAAGATTCTTTACATTCCAGCTAAAAATGCTTTGCACACCATGAGACGCTGGCTTCTGTCCTGCCTTTTATCCCGTTTTCATTTAGATTTGATGTATAATTATCAATGGTTAACTCAGGGTCACATATTTTTTGTCCTTCTGTTGGGAGGATACGCAATCCCCAAGTGTGGTTAATTGAAAGCTGGGTCTGCACCAAATAGAGTGGAATAGGGAGACCCTTCCTCATCCCTTCCAGTTGATACCCTAGCCTCTCTGCACACAGCTGTCATTCCACTGTCTGCCCCTCCTTGCCAGAGAGCAGGGATCTACCTCAAACAAGCCCAGCCTGAGGGGCTCTTTCTGTGGGGACAACAGGAGCAGAAAAGCAGACAGACAACGTGGAGGCTGTGAGTACCTTTGAAACCAAGGCTGCTGGTTGGCTGGGTTTTTTCATATCATAGTGATCCTACAGATGAGGAAAATCAGATGTTCCTAATTCCTTGGGTGCAAGACAGAGAATACAATCCTGATGCTTTTAATTTATATAAGTCAGTACAGTGGCTTCCCACCTCTACTGCAAGGACCAAATGCATTCACTCACTCACTCACTCACACACTCATCAATAAATACCTACCTAACATCTATTACTAAAGCACTAAGCAAAATGCAGAAGGGGAATCAAAGGTATACTGGAACTCAACATCTCCTGGCTCCAAACATCTGGAGCTGCTAAAGTCCCTGCACTTCCCAGTGCTCCTCTCTTTGGTCAGATGTATCTTTTGAGTGCCAAGCTGGGGGTGGCAGACTAAAGAAAGTGCAGTCCTTTCATACTCTTCAATGTTATCTGGACCCTTGACTCTGCACTAGGGAAGCCATGCAGAACTTGAAGAAAGATCTGCAAAAGTGCTGCTGGTGACTTTGACTGGAAATGAAAACTAACAGGGAAAGATGGAGAAAAATTGTACTGATATAGCCAGAAGGAAAGGAAGAAGGGTGTGTGAAAAAAAGAGAAGAGTACTGAAAGGAGAACAATGAACAGCTGATTTCTACCAGGGATGGAAGTAAGATTTTGACTCACCATTTAGAGCTCAGCCCGGAAGGTCTAGAGCCAATACCTACCTGGGAAGGATGCCTAGAGGAGGAGGCTGGATTTAAAAGTCTGTTATGTATGTTATGCTAAATGCAGGCAAGTGGGTAGAGAAAGAATAAGCATTACTAAATACCTATTTGATCTTTCCTTCAATCCCATAGATTCAGTCAAAAACCTAAGGAAACCCAAGGAATTTGTTTTTGTGTACTGGGTCTCTGGTTGATTGATTTTTTTTTTTTTTCTGTTTCTTCTTTACCATATTTTCCAAGTTTTCAATAATGATAATGGATTTTTTTATAGAAATATTTAAATAAATCATTTTACAAAAATAGGACAAACCTCCAGACTTGGAGAGAGGGCCCTTGGTCAGACTGGACATGGCTGAGTGGACCAAGAAATCCCAGAGCTCCTGGGACTCTTAACACCAATTGCTGCCAAGGTCTAAATCTGTTGGCTTTTCTGAGTCCAGCCTTTAACAAGGGGATAATAACATCTGCCTTCCTTACAGACTTGTTCTGAAGGCCACAAGATAAATGTGTGAAAGCATTTGTATCAAGCGCATAATCAGTGTGAGACAGTATTATTCCAGTTAAAGGCAACATTCTATAAAACTAAAAGATGGTAGGGATAGATGTAAAGAAAGTAGAGATTTACATGATCCCAGCTATTTTAGTTCTAATGAGATCCACAGAATAATTCTGACTGGCAAAGGCTCTCTGCTCAGGACGACTGAAGCAACAATAGAAACAAATTCAGCAATAAGAATCTTTACTCCATGTCAGATGACTTGGATCATTGTGAAATCTTCAGGTCCTAGAACTGAGTTTTTCAGAGGTCTTCCCACCTTTCTGACTCCTTGGGGGAAACACTGAAACCCAACTGACATGGAGGAGACCTAGCAAAGATATATTTGAAACTAGATGAGATCAAGTGATTTCCCCTGAGATTGGTCCCGAGTTTGGTTTCAAGGTCTCACCTTGATGTATATAGCTATTAGTCTGACAAGAAGCAACAATAATAATATCAGGACAGGGCTACGGACTTTTACTGACACTAGTTCATGGCCAAATCTGTTTCTCATTCTGGCTCCTATTTGCACAGTGCGTTAGAACAGATGATGTCAACACCAGCAAGGAGACAAGTTATCTCAATACTCAACTCCTGGCAGGAGAATTTGTGCCCTGATTTATTTTTAGTGCTTTTCTACCTTAGTAATCCAGTCAGCTGAAGAAAAGCCAGCAACCTGACTGTTCTCTGAGTTCACCACCCTTATTTATCCCTTAGCAATTAGCAAGACATTTAGTCACTTGGGGGAGAATATACCAGGAGTTTGGGGTCCTATCATTTGCAAACTTTCAGAGGCCACACAGGATTATTATCCCAACCCAAGCGGAAGTGTGGGCCTCACTATTTCATTGGTAGCACCTTTTACTCAAGGGAGAAAAATAAAGAAAGAGAGGTTGCTAACAAAAACAGGTACATACAGCCCATCATTTTTATCAGCAGGGTGGAGGATGGGGTGAAAATCAAGAATTCTGCTTTACCTTTCATGAAATGTTAGACCTTAAAATAGGGAACACATTCTGCTTATCTTAAGCATCAAATTGACTGTTGCTAGGAGTTCACAATGAATAGTGAGTGCCTTTTCACCAAGATGCAGAAAGTGAAATAACAAAAGATTAATCACTCATTTCCACATTTTTGTATTTGGATTTAACCCCAAATATTTAATTTTACTTCAATCTCATACAGCTTGTGAGGACAGATTTATACACCACCAGCTGTCCTCATATTTAAAAGCTGCACCACAAAGATAAAATTAGAATCAAGTGAGGATCATATTCCTCAGCAAGAATTCTGTTCTATGGCCCACTGATGCCCTGAGCCACAACTGACAAACCAAATACCAGGATTATTGTTGTTTTTCTTGGACATTTCCTAAGCAGCCACAGTGTGGTAGAAACTGGATAGATCACAAATAAAGGCATGAGCCCTAAACTCATACAATTATACCCATGGGTAGAAATTTATTTCCAAGGTTATTTCTCACCAAAGTGGGAGGAAAGTACATACTGTTTTGACAGAGGAGGGAGTGAGTGAAGTCAACTATCAATACCCCTCCCCCCCTTTTTTGGAGCTTTCCACTTCAGGAATTTTCCAAAGTCGTATGAGGCTCAAATTAGACTGAAGTCTGGGTAAGGTACAACTGTTCATTAAATCAAACAGGAAAGACCAAACGTCAACATCTTGGTGTTAGATATTTGGTGTGCCAAAGTATTGTGTAAAAAAATAATAATAATGAAGAAGAATCTCAAAATTCTAAAATATTATTTGTTAAATAATCACCTTGAATGAAGTCTAATTGTAAAAATGTACCTGTAAGAATACATTGTTAATGTTTTATGTTCAATTTGGAAGATCATATTTCTCAACAGGCATTTTATAAGAGGAAAAAGCAAAAGTGATCAATAAACACATAAAAGATGCACAACCTCCTTTATGATTAAAGAAATGCAAGCCTACAAAACAATGAGATATCACACTATGAAGATTATGAGGAAGCTATTCTCAAATAGCTGTTGAAAATGTACCATTTTAGAAAAGGGTAATTTGGACATAACTATTAAAATTTAAAATGCATGTGCTTTTTTCCCCTGTAATTCCACTGCTATAGATATACTTACAAAAGTAGGCAAAGGTGAATTTACAAAGATGCTCACTTAAGTATTGTTTTTAACAACCCACATATTCTTCAACTGATTAAGTAAACTATTATAAACCATATAAAAAATACTATGTAGGAATTTAGAAGAATTAATTAGATTTTTATGTGCTATCAGATGATGACCCAGATATATAAAGTGGAAAAGCAAGGTGTAGAATAGTATATATAGTATTATCCCACTCATGAAAAAATAAAATTATATACATAGCTGTATGCGCATACAGTAGAAACTGGAGTCGAATTTGTAGAAATTTATAGAAACAGGAGACTGGAAAGGGTCAACTTTTACTTTTCACTTTAAACCTTCTGTTCTCTCTGAATTCTTAGAATTTTTGCCCTAAGCATCTACTACTTTTATTTTTTAAAATCTTTTGGCACTCAAAGGTTTGTTTCAACTTTCTGGAAAATTCATTTGCATGGAACATCCCAAGTCTCTAAAAGTACCTTATGAATCTAAAGAATTAAATTATACTCAGATTAGTTTTAGCACTGACTATACTTTACTGTATTCTAATTCTCTGAAAATTAGTAATTCCAGTAGTTCAGTAGAATTGGCCAAAATTTCATTCACTTACTAGGACAGATAACAAAGAGGAAACTATTTTTATATCTCACTTTTATTTTGAAAATGGATTTGACCTTCCAGAATATATTTCTTCATACCTTGGTGTCAATTCAATGATTAGAAAAGATTTAATGTCATATGATCTAACGTCAGGAGAATATTAAGTATGACAATACTCTTAGCACATTAAATTCCTCCCCTTCAGAAAGGGACCTCTGACCTCAGGTTCAAGAATTCAAGGACATAACATCGAGCAAATGGCAGGCAAGCATGTTCTGATGTGGGAAAGCAGTCTGTAAATTATTAAATGGAACAGAAATTTAGATAGTAGAGTGTTAGTGTATTTTGTTGGGGCTACTGCCTTATCTCATCTCACCAAGCCTCAGGCTGGAGATACGATAACTACTTAAATTATCTGCATTTTTACATACTGCGCAGAAAAGCCCTCCACAGATTGAGACTAAGGTAGCAATTTTAATTTCCTTCTCTTATTTTTGGCAGACCCTGTAGACAGGATGGTTTCTCCATGATGTTACTTTTGAGTATGTAAGTGTGTATGTATGTAGTTTTTTTTTAATGGACCTCAGGTGCATAACACATATAATAATTCATATTTTGAATTATGAATTAACATGCATGGCATCTTCTACTTTATTTTATTTACTGGTTCATTTCTTTATTTCTTTTTAATAATATAACAAGTCCTGTGAGCCAGTTATTTAACCCAAGAACTGGACCAATACCAATAACTTACATTATCTATGTGCTCCTCCCCTATCTCTTCCCCTTGACTTCCCCCACTTGTCCCACTACCCTGTATTTTGTGTTTATCATAGTGGTGCCTTTTAAATAGTCTTATTGAGGGTAAATTATTGTATCTTAAATTACAATAGGAGAATTAACCAGAATGAATTTGTTCATTCATCCCTTAACATTACAATGAATTTGATTCATTGGACCCCGCATTAGATACTTTGGGGGATACACAAATGCCTGAGATAGCAGAGCACTGTATCTGGCACTTAA